TAACCTTCTCTCTAAATCCTCTAAAGGTTCTCTTAATCCGTAGTTAGGTGATTAGATTAGGGAATTTAGATTAGGTGGTTAGTTTAGGCAATTTAGATTAGGTGGTTAGTTTAGGTAATTTAGATTAGGTGGTTAGTTTAGGTAATTTAGATTAGGTTGGTTTACTTTTATTTACTGTTTTTTTTAAATTATACGGGAATTAATGTTTTGATTTTTTTTTTTTTAAATATAGATGCCTAGATAGAGTAAGCTTGCTAAGGCTGCTGCTAAGAGGACGTCGTCTCCCGAGGGGATAAGCTACGGAGATATGTTTGGGCGTCAAGATGCTCCGGGTTCATCTTCGTTAGCTCTCGGGAATCGAAACCCGGTTTATCTTCGATTCCCGAGACTCAGAGAGCTTCTACGGCGTCCCGGCAACCACCTCCTTCTCCTCCTCCTCCTCCACCGGTTGAGGTTCATCCCGATTTCCAGGTGCCGCCGAACGCACCCTTTGCGGTGTACACGGTGAAGGATATTTTGGCCCTTCCAGGCAGAGAAGGGCTGGCAGAGTTAGATTCTTACCGACGGGACGGCCAAAACATATTATGGTATGTTTTAATTTTTAAAAAGTTTTTTAATTTATTTCTTAATTAGCAAGATATTTAGAAATTAATCTAATTAATGATTTATTTTGTGTCTTTCCAGGTTTGGTCTTGACAATTGTGTCGGATCTAGCGTCACGGACTGTATCAAGGGATACTTTCCTGATCCAGCTCAGAACTGGAAGATGACAGCGAACCACACAAAAAGACGTGGTTCAAATCGTTCGCTGTAAGTTTAATTCGTTAATTTATTTTTAATTATTTAAAATTATTAATATAATTGAACTAATCCGTCTTTTATTTTTTATGGTTACAGCAAAAGTATCGTTGGTCTATTGGGATTCACCAGCGAGTGAAGAAGGAGTTTGAGGCCAAGGCAAGAGCACGATTGCTCGACATGGTCTACAACTGGAAGGGCGACTATGAGGTATAGATTTATAAATTATAATATATATATAGTTTTAAAAATATTATATATATTGACTTTAATTCTAATTTTTTTAAATCAGGTGGATGGTTACGAGGCCAGGAAACCCGATTACCTCACAACCATGGTGTGGGATAACCTCATCAGCTATTGGGGGTTGCCGGACACGGTCAGAACCTCCAACACAAACTCCGGGAACCGCATGACCAAAGACGAGCATGGCAACACGAAGGCGCTTCACACCACGGGTCGAAAACCTCACGGGGGAGTTCGTCTAGACATGGTAAGATGATTTTTAATAACAATTTAATTTTTATTTTATTTGAATATTCCAAATTAATATTTAATTTTATAAATTAATTTTAGGCTAAGGAGACAGGAGTTCTTACAAGGCTAGGCAGTTTGTAGATCCTGCGTCCGAGCGGATCTACAACGAGCTTGTTGCCCGAGTTGACGAACGCCAGACCCAGCTGACTCAGCAGACTGGGACTCCAGTCATATTATCTACTGTTGACGTGGATAAGATTTACGAAGAGGTAAATAATTTGTTTTACTATTAATTTTTAATATTTTTAAAAAATTTATCTTAATGTTATTAATATTTTTATTTCCAGGTCGCCCCTAGGAAAAAGAGGCGTATCATCGGGATTGGCTCGGTTAACGATGTCCCTGCAGCGACATTGTCTTATCATCAGGAGCAGCACGATGTCAATGCTCAGCTGCGCTCGAAGTTGCAGGCGACGCAGTCTCATGTGACTTCGCTCAGCGAGCATGTGACTTCTCTCACCGATGTCCTCGACATTATGGCGGTTGGAAACCCGCATGTGCAGGAGATGTTGCGTCAGAGACGGGAACGTGGAGGGATTCCAACCCAACAGCATCCACCATCACAGTCACAGTCGGCAACCAACTATGGAGAGGATTTGCCGAGCCAGGACGACGACCAGTTCGTTCAGCAATTTCACGACCAGCATCCGTAGTTTTTTTATTTTTAATTGTATATTATGAATTTAAAAACTTTTTGTATATTATTTAGTTATTTATAAAATATTTTGTTTTTTATTTTTTTCTTTATGATTTGATTTTTTTTTAAAAAAATAAATAAATTAATTATTTGTAATTATTTTTTTTAATAGGGAAAAAACCTTTTCCAAGCAAAATCCTCGTAAAGGGTTCCAAGTAATGTCCTCGTAACAAGTTTTAGTAATTTCCTCGTAATCAATTACTACGATCTTACGAGGAAAAACTTACTACGAGCTTACGAGGAAAGCGTACGAGGACCTTACGAGGAAAATATTACTACTCCTTTACGAGGAAACATTTCCTCGTAAATTCGCTAGTACCTTACGAGGAAAATGGCTTTACGATGAACGTGTTTCGAGGAAACGCGTTTCCCCGTTATTTCCTAGTAAAAGGCCATTTACTAGGAAATAACGAGGAAAACCCGTCCTAGTAATGGACGACTTTTCTTGCAGTGATCTAGAAAGAACCCAACAAACTCTCCCTCCGACTAGGTGGAGGAAACAACCATTTTGGCTATCCCTCGATACTTCATGTTTTCCCCTCGGTAATGACTTTGTCATCATATCAGCTCCATTATCATTTGTATGAACTTTTTCAAGTTCCACTTCCTTAGAAACAACCACATCTCCAACGAAACCTCCTCTAAATATGCTTCGACTTTGAATGAAATGTAAAATTCTTACTGAGACAAATGGCGCTTTGACTATCACAGAGTAGCGCATACTTTTCTTACTTAAAACTAATCTCCTCAGAGAAATTCTTCATTAACAACAAATCTTTACAAGCTTCAGTTGCAGCAATGAACTCCGCCTCAGTGGTAGATAATGCAACACACTTTTGCAACCTTTATTGCCATGCCACAGTTCCACACGAAAATGTTATCAAGTAACCCGAAGTAAACTTACTAGAATCAACATCTCCAGACATGTCAGAATCAGTGAAACTAAAAAGAAAAACTTCTTACCTCTGAAAGTAATCTTCAGATCATAAGTCCCTTTGAGATATCTCAAAATCCACTTCACAGCATTATGTTGTTCTCTTCCCGGAATAGAGAGAAACATGCTGACAACTCTAACAGCGTAGGCTAAATCTGGTCTTGTACATACCATGGCATACATTAAGCTACCCGCTACAGAAGCATACGGAACCTTCACATTATCTTCCTTCTCAGCATATATCTTTGAAATTTGTTGACTGCGTAGTCTTAGATATAGAGCACGAGGAGTATTGAATACTTTAGACTTGTCCATGTGAAATTGTTTAAGTACTATTTCAATGTATTTCTCATGATACAAGTGAATCAGCTTATCACCTCTATCTCGGACAATTCTTAAACCGAGAATCTGTTTCGCTGGATCCATATCTTTCATGGCAAAGAACATGCTTAGCTGTTCCTTCAGCTCTTTAATTCTCTCCATGTTCCTGCCCACAATCATTATATCATCGACATACAACAACAAGAAGATAAAATCATCATCACCAAACATCTTCACAAATACACAGTGGTCTAAATCAGTCTCTGCATAACCATGCTCCCCCATAATAGACTTGAACTTCATGTATCACTGCCTCGGTGCTTACTTTAATCCATAAAGGTTTTTCTTCAAGCGGCAAAACAAATTTTCCTTGCCCTTTTCACATAGCCTTCCGGTTGTTTCATGTAGATCTTTTCCTTCAAGCACCATGAACAAAAGCAGTCTTCACATCTATATTCTCAACTTCTAGATCAAGGCTCGCTGCCAATCCAAGCACAACCCAAATGGATGACATCTTCACAACATGAGAAAGATATCATCATAATTAATCTCCTTCTTTTGGCTGTAGACTTTCATAACCAGTCTAGCCTTATCGAGGTGACAAATTTGTATCCTCATGCTTAATTCTGGATACTCACTTATTAAGCAGAGCTTTCTGCCATTATGCAATTCCACCAACTTGAATGTATGATTCTTTTCCAAAAATCCCATTTTCTCATCCATGGCGCCAAACCACATATCCTTGTGTTCATCTTCCAAAGCTTAATCAGTAAGTAAAACATACTCAATAAAATCATACCTTGTTGACGGTATAAGACCTCTCTCGGATCTTCTAACAATAATAGGTTTAATTCTTAGCAGCTGGTGTCTCACCATGATCACCACTACCATCTTCATGTGCGGGAGCATATGCATTGGGCGTATCATCCTGAAACTCAATCTCAACCTCACCGTGGACCGATGTATAAGGAGTATCCTCTGTATCGATCAAATCCTCAAACGCCTAAGTTGGATTTCAGTACTTGTCGATGTCTTTTATCGTTTGATCTTCCATGAACACATCTATGTTCCTTACGAGCTTCTTCTCAACAAGATCATAAAATCTGTACTCAAATTCTTTATGACCATAACCGATGAACACACACTGCCGTGATTTCATCTCAAGCTTCGATTTCTCATCCTTGGGAATATGAACAGACGTAACATGGTTATCCGATTCTCATTGCGAGCAACCGAGTATGTCTCGTGTTGATGGATAAATCCTTAGAGAATTAGTTGGTTGGACTTTAGTCTGATGAACACCCCCAGATAATAAAAAAAGAATTATTTATAATTACTTTTTTATTATATATAATTACTGTTTAAGATTTTAATAAATATTTTATAAATTAAAATTTGCCAGAGGAATTGGGAAATCATTTATTAGTTTTATTTTCTCATTATATGTTTATTTGAATGGTTTGATTTGGTGAACACCCTGGGATATAAAAAAAAAGAATTATACATAATTACTATTTAAGATATTGAAAATATTTTATAATTTAACTATATAATTAAAAATTTCTAGACAAATTTGGAAGTCACTTATTAGTTTTATGTTTTCTCATTATATGTTTATTTGAATGGTTTTATTCGGTGATATCTTCTACTTTATTAAAACAGAAGTACCAATATAGAATACCCCTAAAAGTTCCACATTATTTACATTGAAATGCCACTGAAAATTTAATTAATTTAATTTTAAAAAATTCTTGTCTTTTCCACGACAATATTTGTTCCTATTTCTTTGGCTGAGCACAAAAATATAACTTCTTTATGTCCTTCAAGAAAAAGGATAAAATCTTAACGAATCCTAATATAAAACCATATTCACTGCTGAGTCACATAAATTATATTCGATATTTAGTTACAACCTCTTTATAGACTATGTAGAATAGTTGAGGACCTGAGGTTATAGTGTTCAACTTTTGGTGTCTCCCAAGTAACCACAAACCTAATACGTTGAAGTCATATACCTGTTGCAAATTTAAGAAACTATCTGAGATTTTGGACAAACCTAATACGTTGAAGTCACATGGTGCAAATTTAAGAAATGATAGATTCTAATCCTAACTATTACGTTGAGCTCAATTATTAAATGCCTACAAATTCGGTACAATTGATTATCTCCGCGACTATCCTGTTTCTAATCCTAACTACAATATGTAAAATCTTATGTCCATGACAAATAAATTTCGAAATAACACCAACCAAATCTAATAATTTCTTTTCCTTCCACCAAAACAAAATATATCAAATCTTTCAGTTTCCTATTTCTTTGGTTCCTATGTAAAATTGATTTCCTCCGCCACTATCCTGTTTGTAATCGTAACTAGAATATGTAAAATCTTATGTCTATGACAAATAAATTTCGAAATAACACCAACCAAATCTAATAATTTCTTTTCCTTCCACCAAAACAAAAGATATCAAATCTTTCAGTTTCCTATTTCTTTGGTTCCTAATAATGTTTTAGGCCAATCCTAAATATATCAAATTTCATGCTGCTTTGGTTCATAATAATCTTTACGCCAAATAACAACCATTAATCACAAGAACCAACCAAATCTTATCATTTCCTATATTACGGCCTTTTAATAAGTAGATAAAATCCAAAAATGTAGTTAAGATATTTGTGCTATTTTACGATTTTCTATCTCCACTATATATTCTACCCGTCATGTACTCATAACCTACACATTCTACACATTATTTTCCTTTTCCTCAGACTTTCAAAGAAAAAATGTCTCAGAGTTTGGTTTTGATCAAAGACCTCAAACCATTTAAGGAAACGTGGCGTATTCAAGTTTGGTTTAATAGTTTCTGGTTTTTAATATTTTTCCTTTTTTTTCATTATTCAGAAATGCATGGAGTTAAAGAAGATTAGTTCAGAAGATGTTCGTTAGAGTTTGGAAGTGTTTCTTTTTCTTTTTTTTTTTGCATTATTCAGAACCTGTTGGTTATATTTTATACAAACTACAATGGTTTTTAGCTTTTATGAATTAGATACTTTTCAAACTAAGTTTGTTTAGCTAGAAAACACATTCATTCAGAAGAATCAAAATCTATTTCCACATTCCATCAATACTAACCAATAAACTACAATCAAACCTAATAGTGTATTTCTAAATCTAATTGAGTCTACAATTCTTTAATCGTAAGGAACTAAGGATAGTTACTAACCATGTATTGTTGTTTTTTCCCTGGTGCTCCATGTTGAAGACAAACTTCATCAGACCTGTTATCTCCAATCTCACCATCTTAATGACCTTAATTATATAAAACCCAAAAAAAAAATGAATACAACTATTTTCATTTCATAGAAAAACATATGCATAATATGATGTGGCAAGTTAGTTGTCTACGTATGGTTTTATCTTCCCAAAAATAGTAGCTTTTTTAATCAGACAATTTCTTTTGAAAAGAGGGAAAGACAAAACCAAATCGAAAAAAGTGATTTAATACCTTGATTCGTAAATAAAAAAAGCAGATCCACTTCCCCGTCAAGAACACACACAAATTTGAGCTTAATCTTTTTCCCCATCGCCATCAACAGCATGTGGTTAACGTTCTTTGCTAACCATGCAAATCCAGCTTCATCTTCTCCATGTTCGAATCTGGACTGACAGACAGTTTCCTTTCAAAACGAGGAAAAGAAAAAACCAAATCGAAAGAAATTAAGTGATTCAATACTTTGATTCTTAAAACAAATAAAAAACAGTGCCACTTCCCGGACAAGAACACATACTAATTTGAGCTTCAAATCTTTTTTCTCTATCGCCATCGGCAAGAGAACATAACTTAGGGAGAATTTTGTTTATAACTTTATCTATTCTTTTTTTTTTGGAGAAGACACCGAACGGTAACCACATGTTTTGTCGATCATAATCACAAGATATTGACCTACATGGGCCTATTAAGCAGATAATTGTAATAGAAATTTTGCATTTTGATCTAAACATAAATGGACCAAATGATACCCAATAGCAACTTAATTATTTGTATGTATGTTTGTTAACCATAATCAAACCAACGCCAAATTTCAAATTGACGTTTCTTATTGATTTGCAATTTATATATTACTAATTAGTCAAAATTTTGAAAGTATTTATTTATATATATCTTACTAATTAGTCAAATTTACCAAAGTATTTATTTATATATAGTATATCATCATGGAATAACATATAATTACATCACGAAAAACATAAAATTCCAATCCGCGCGGTCGCGCGGATCAGTGTCTAGTTATGTTTTAAGACTTAAAAGCATGACGAGATTCAACCGAAATATATCCAAGCCTCATGATTTTACGTTAATTAACAAAGTAAAAATATAAGTCCTTTTATTTAACGGAAATAATATTTAGAAACATTTTGGTCAAAAAAAAAAAATTTCATTTCTCATGTGCAGTTTCTAGCACATTCTGTCAAAATAGTAATTGAAAAAAACCCTTGGATTTCCGGCGTATCAACCAGATGAATTTTGAGTTGGATTAGTCCACTCACTTGCGTATTGGATTTTGATTTTGGTCTGAGTTGGACAAGTGTGTATTTGAACTCTGTTGTAATTTAAACGAATTGGATATTAATTGATTGATCTACGGTTTCAATAAGATACGGCATACTATAACGAAGTGGTTAGTAAAGTTTTTTTTTTTTTTTTGACAACGAACGGCTGATCTATTAATAAAACTTGAGTTGGTCTAGAAATCTAGACCGGAATAGAACAACCAATAAACATGAGTTCCCGATAAAAGGATCGGGCAGTCTTAGCTAGGTGATCGGACACAACATTTAAAGATCGAGGTACATAAGAAATCTTAAAATCTGGGAGCAATCCTTCCAGTCCCAACCACAGCCAGAAAATTGATCTACAGAGGTCCAAGAACCATCTATCATGCAAATATCACATAGGCTTATGGCCTGCGGGTCTGTATTACCATCCTCTTGTGTAACCTCAACCCCCTGCTCATTGGCTTGGAACCAGGCAAGACACTCGCTCTCTGCATACCGGGCCAACTCCAACGGGTCTCTATCTATTCCTCTGAACAACTTGTCATTCTGAGCCTTCCAAATGTACCATATTAGCCAAGGATAAGGATCCTTGTCTAGTTCTGGCCCACAGATGGCTTTCTTCGGCCAGAATAGATAATCCATATTCGCATAGGTGCTCTCCAAGGGAAACAAAGCCGAGCTGGAAGGTATACCTGTAAAGCCGGTGGGCATTGGAAAATTGCATGTGCAATTGTTTCATCCGGTTCGCCGCACCGTGGGCAGAAATTATCGCATCTCATATGTCTATGATTCAAAGCGCTCGTAACCGCCACCTGTCCCGAAATGATCTGCCACATAAGATGGCACATCTTCGGGGGTGCCTTAACTTTCCAAACTTGTGCTTGAAGCCTTTTAAAGCTAGGTTCATCTACCAAATTATCCTCCTCCTTCCTCAGTACATTACGAGCTACCCAATAGCCGGACTTGACTGTGTATTGCCCACTCCTAGTGTAACTCCAGCAGAATGTATCTCTACGATGGGTTGAACTGATTGCCATACTCCTTATGAGAGGTATATCATCAGTGTCAACATATAGTGCTAGCCGATCCAGGTCCCAAGACTTTGTTTCTTGATTGATAAGATCGCTCACTCTCATATTTGGGTTCAGCACCAGAGCTGATGCATGCGCTGGTCTTGCTGGGATTGTGGGAATCCACGGATCCTCCCATACCTTAACTTCATACCCTGAATGGATTTTCTGTCTAATCCCCAATAGCAATGACTCCCGTGCAGCCGAGATGCTTGTCCACACATACGAAGGACTACTGACAGTGTGCTTTCGCAAAGGCGAACTTTGTCTATAATATCTCCCTCTCATAACACGAGCAACCAGTGAATCCGGATTTTGTGCCAACCTCCATAGCTGCTTTCCTAGTAATGCCAGGTTAAACTCATGTATCATCCTGAATCCAATTCCACCTTCCTCCTTGGGCTTACACAACTTATCCCATGTTTTCCAGTGTAGACCTCTCTTTGGTGGGTTTGAGCTCCACCAAAACTGTGCAATGGCACTAGCCAAGGCGTCACATATCTCCAATGGGAGCAAGAAACAAGACATAACATATGTTGGAAGAGCCAACAAGATTGACTTGATCATAACTTCTTTTCCTCCTTTTGACAACCATCTACCCGTCCATCCATTCACTATGTTCTGAAGTTTGTCTTTAAGAAAGCAAACAGCTTGCATTTTGAGCCACTGATATCCTCTGGTATCCCTAGATAGGTCTCCATCCCTGCATCATTTTGTATCCCTAATGTATCTTTGATCTCTTGCCTAGCCTCTTGACCGATCCTCTTACCAAAGAGTAAAGAAGATTTGTCAAAATTGATACATTGTCCAGATGCCTGTCCATACTTCCTAACCACTTTCATAACTTCTTCACATTCACGGGGTTACGCCTTACAAAAGAACAGGCTATCATCAGCAAAGAGCAAGTGGGATATCGATGGACACGCACGTGTGATGCGCATCCCCGTTATCTTTCCCTGACTCTCTGCGTGATTAAGAAGGCTAACGAGCGCTTCCGTGCATAGAATAAAAATGAAAGGGGATAAAGGATCTCCCTGACGTAGGCCTCTCTCCGGGACAATATTTCCTCGTGGCTGTCCATTCATGAGTACCTGATACTTTACTGTTGTTATGCAGCGCATAATCCAAGTAATCCATATTTCGGAAAACCCCATCTTCATCATGGTGGCTTCGATGAAAGACCATTCCATACGATCATATGCCTTACTCATGTCTGTTTTGATGGCCATCCTCTTATTGCGTCCGCTCGGTTTTGTTCTTAAGGCATGGAACAATTCCTGTGCAATCATTATGTTGTCCGATATCTGTCTCCCAGCAACAAAGGCTGACTGGGTTTCAGAAATCCTATCTGGAAGAACCTTCTTCAATCTTTGGCATAATATCTTGGAGATGATCTTGTAGCAAACATTGCAGAGACTGATGGGTCGTAATTGGCTCATCTGGTTTGGTTTTTCAACTTTTGGGATAAGACAAATATTGGTATCAGTGAGGCCCGTCGGAATAGTCCCTTGGAATAAGAAATCATTAACCATACGAGTTAAATTCTCCTTGACGATATCCCAAAAATTTTGATAGAACAGAGCTGTCATTCCATCCGGTCCAGGAGCTTTCTCAGGATGCATAGCAAAGAGGGCTAATTTAATCTTCCACTCTGAAACTGGAGCTGTGAGCCCCTCATTGTCTGCAGGCGTAATTGTAGTTGTTACTTCAGAAAGTGCCTCCTCAATCTCCTCCTGGTTCGATGATTGAAATATTTCTCGAAAATAATTAGTAGCAATGGCTACCAAGCCTTCCTCATCCTCCACAACATTCCCATCTGCATCAAGAATTTGGGTTATCCTGTTCCTCGCTCGTCGCTGCTTCGTTAAGGCATGGAAAAATTTGGTGTTTCAATCTCCCTCCCTTAACCAGAAAACCCTACACTTCTGCTTCCAGAAGAGTTCCTCCGCCTTAAGGGCATCAGACAATTCTTTAAGTGCCGCCGCTATTTCTTCTGTAGTGGCATCATCATTGGATGATAATCGATCCACCTTTTCCTTTAACTCCTCAACACTTTTTTCTGAATTGAGATTGTGTTGCCTCTTCCATTCACCTAACGCTCGCTTGCAGCTCTTAATATGCTTCATAATACTTGCATTGGGTGGTAAATCCGGTGACTTCCATCCTTCCATTATAATCTGTCTAAGCTCCTCATTCTGAAGCCATCGCTTATCAAATTTGAAGTTTTTCGATCTCCGTGGCTTCTTCTTAAGAATGTCTGCCAGGATTGGACGATGATCCGAACCCCAGAGCCGCGTATACTGCACTTTAGTATGAGGAAATTTCTCATGCCAATTCTCGTTCCCCACGGCCCTATCCAGTCTACATCTAACGGTGGAATTTCCTGCTCTTCGTCCTACCCATGAAAGCATATTTCCCGTAAAAGGGAAGTCCAGCATACCACAATCACTTAGCATTTGCTTGAAAAGCAAGAAAGATCTATATGTGTGTTGTATGCCGCCTTCCTTTTCTGCATGACATGTAATCTCATTGAAATCACCAATCATAAACCAAGGTCCATCTCTTGTTGTTGAGAAACGTGTAAGACGTTCCCAAACTAGATCCCTTCGTTCTACTACAGGATCCCCATAAACAAATGTCATATAGACTTTTATTCCATCAATGACTGCCTCAATGTCAATCATTCGGTTATTAGAAAATAAAATTTTAACATGAAAATCTTCCATAAAAAATAAAGCTAAACCACCACTGTATCCACATGGCTCCACGGTGAATAAACGATCATATCCTAAGTCGGCCTGAATGTCTTGCAACAGCAGCCTCCTGTTCTTAGTCTCAGAAAGGAACACTAGTCCTGGGCGATGCTTCTGACACATCTCCGTAAGGCGTCGAACTGTGAGGTCAGTCCCAATCCCTCGACAGTTACAACTGAGTGTCTTCATTGATACAAGTGGGATGGGTTTTTGGACCCCACCGAACCACTTGTTTTCTTTGTCATAGACCGGTCCTCTTTAACATTATGACTAAGAGGTCTTGGTTTAGACTTACCACCAGTGTTCTTCGTAGAATTAGAACTTAGGACTCGTAGACGTGGAGATCCCCGACGGAGGACCTGTTTCTTCCTAGGAGTGCGTATGTTTTCCGTCCTTACTCCTTCCCCCCTGCTTGAGCTACTACGCTTCCCAATTTCCGATATG